ATTTATATATATATATATATATATATATATATATATATATATATATATATATATATATATATATATACACACATTTATAGACTGCAACATTTATATATAAACAATACCGCGCAGTGTTTATGGCAGCTTGTAAATCAGACGGCAACTGATGCGAGTCTTGATTTTCGGCTAGACCTGTTTTTGCCCGTGGCAAGTCTGACTTCATTTTATCTTTAGCATTTTAATTACTGTGATATATCCACACCTAACCAGACTCGTCAGTGGCACGGACCCTAGAAACACCCGTCCGTCGATATGTGGAGTAACTTTATGTGTTCAGACACAGTGAGCTGTCCGCAGGAAGCATGTGGGTTTTTGGTTACGGGTCATTGATTTGGAAAGTTGACTTTCCATACGAGGAGAAACGAGTGGGTTTCGTCAAAGGTTTCAGTCGCAGATTCTGGCAGGGAAGTACGGATCATCGAGGGGTGCCTGGAAAGGTATGGACCAGATTATTCTCTATCAAAGTCATTCGAGTTTATGAACTGCAGGCGTCCAGTCGTAGTGACCTTTCAGGATGACAGAGCACGTTACACAGTACGATTAACACTTTTACTTCTTATTGATTCTGTTTCAGCCTGGCCGAGTGGTGACATTAATAGAGGACCCCGAGGTAATGACTGTCTATACTGCTTACCATGCCGATATATGGCTCATTACATTCCACGAACGCGGTATACTTTTTTTTTTTTTTTGGTCCTATTAAATGTTTTTTTTTCTAAACCTGGAAGGCACTTTTTTTTTTTGACTTTAGATATATTTGATAAACTATTATCTAATAAAACGTTTTACATGAATTACATTTGTAATTACCTTGCATTAAATTATTATAAATTGTAATTATACAACATAATTAAAAATATATTATTTTATATTTTATAATATAAAAATTAACATTTAAGATGAACTGTTACTTGCATAACCTTGAATGAACTGTAGCTAGTTTTAAACTTCCCATTTCTGTACCCAACCTTAAAATGGTGATTATGCAGTATTTTTAGTGTCGATTTATTTTTTATAATTCACAATAATAGTTTATACATTCCTTATTTTATTTTTTTTAAACAAATGATCAAACAACTAACCTCGCATGAAATTTAAATAGTTTTTAACACATAAAATGAGGGGTGCTCTGATTAGGGTTTTTGAGGCCGATCACAGAAAGCAGTATCTGCCGATACCGATACTGATATTTTTAAAGCCTTCTTTTGTATAATTTATACCTATTTATAGTGATACTCCAATCAGGATTTTTAGACATTTATTCAGTGCCTGAATTTCATTTTTGAGAATGGGTGTCTCTTGTGAGAGGGGAAGCAGCACGGACTGTGCTTTCACACAGGAGTCCGCTACTGATCTGTGGCCGATTACCACAAACACAACATTTATCCATTATTTTGATTTCAAATCCAAACATTGTCACTGAAAAGGCTTTTTCAGCATTGCAATTATTTTTTATTATTATTATTTTACACAGTACAGTAATACAATCTTTCACAGACATGTTTAAACACAATATAAGCAACACATTATTCAATGCTTTTTACTTTTGCATTTACTTAGATTTATATATTAAGTTGCTCAAGCAAGAGGCAAAACATTTAAACTACTTTTCTTACGTTATCACAAACTTACCATTGGCAGAAATAGTCTGCCAATGTGTGTGCTCTGCTGCGAGTGTGCATGAGCGCACGGTCTCCAAACTTTAGTGACGATGTGACACTGCCTCGATTGTGCAAGTGACAGTTCCTGTGTAAACTGTGCAGCATGCTGCTCGCTTTTAGTGATTTTGTATTTTGAGAAAGAGAGCGCGAGCGGTGATTCACTCACGTTGTTTGTGAAATTACGTCTCACACAAGATTTTCAAATTACTTTACAAGTTATTTAATGAGGAAATATGAAGGGGAGCACCTCACCTTCAGCATTATAATTATTTCACCTGCGCCGGACGGAGACAGTGCCGCTGCATGTCGGGCCAAACCTCACGGCAGCGTCATCAGCTTGAGATCGTTTTTTTTGAGATCGGCCTTTTTAGAGACCAGCGATCAATCACCCCACCGTGATTATCGGCCGATAGTGATCGGTAGCCGATCAATCGGAGCACCCCTACATAAAATGTCTGTATCCGGCCTTATAATGGTGATATATTTTTAAATTAACTTTAAAATTATTTTAATTCATGTTTTTTTCCCCATTAATTTTTAAATAAACTATTATCTAACAATTTTCTTTCAATTCACTTTAATATTTGTAATTGTATCAAATAAATAAAAAAGATGTATTATTAAACCATTTTTATACATAGTTTATTCATTTACTTTAATATTTTTATACTTTTGTAAAAAAAAAAAAAAAAAGAAATTCTAAGGTTCAACACAAGTCAACTTCTGTGATTTAAACACTTTCAGACCATTTACTAATATATATATTTTTTAAGAGTTTTAGACCCTGTTTTGTTCTATATTAATGGGAAGTGCCATATATTATATTTGTGATGTATCATTTAATAATAGCATATGAGATTTACATACATTTAATTTACTTGCATTAATCCAGTAGATTTTTTTTTCTTATGCTACATAATAATCCAAACATTTGTTTTTCTTGTTCGTTCACTCTCTATTTGCCTGCAGGGCTGTGTGTGGGGCATTGCTTATAAGTTGCCATCAGGTCGAGAAAAGGAAGTGAAAGAGTATCTGGACTACCGAGAGAAAGGCGGTTACGGGGTGATCGCGGTTACATTTCATCCCAAAGATGAAGGACACAAACCAATGCAGGACACATTGCTCTACATTGGCTCCTGTGACAACCCAAATTACCTTGGCCCAGCACCTTTGGAAACAATCGCTCAGCAGATTGTGAAGTCTGTAGGCCCCAGTGGCAAGAATACAGACTACCTCTTTGAGCTCGCCGATGCCATCAGGCAACTAACACCTGAAGACTTAGATGATCACTTGTTCTCTTTGGAAAGTCTTGTGAAGGAGCTGCAGAAGCAGGAGATGAAGTGATCTGATACAGTCTGCTTTGTCCTTAATCTTCTGGAAAAACTCAGGAATTGTCATTTTTTTGTTCCTCATATATAGATTATGATATCTGATGTATACTAAAAGGGATTACCTGATAAAGCGTTAGATAAGCAGTACTTAAATTACTGTTCTGTTTTTAAGTAGGATTGTTTAATATATGGTAGTCTCTTGACAGAATGTTTTAATCTACACTTGATTTTACAATGTGACACTTCACATCATTTGTCTCGCGTTAAACCTTGAGATACAAATCAAGAACAAATGGATTTCAGTTTATTGCACATAATATATAATGTCATTATGTCCATGAAAATGTAAATGAAGGGACAATTTAATTTTCAGAGGCCGGTTTATTTTACTCGGGATACTTGAATGTGTTACAAAGCCATTTCCTATTATTTTAAAAGTTCCTTACCATCCTAATCTTCAAATAAGCCATAGCAAGGTGAATCTCATGAACATAACATGTTTAAGTCACCAATTTACCCCCCAGAAAAAAATCTAATAAAATAATTTGAATAAACCAAATTAAAACTGTTCTTGAAACCTTAAAGAATTATTTTGCATTGTATAACATTTGAATGACATTTAACTGTTTTCCAACCAAAATCACACTAACATTGTCCTTTTTTTTTTTTTTTGCATTTCCTGTTACAGAAAACAATAGATTCGTTTTTTTCTTCTTCAATGTGGTCATTTTTAAATTATGAATAATTATTTTAGTTATGATTGTCAATGCAAAAAAATTTTTTTTTCAGTTTTCCTCCTATCTATCTTATCCATCTATCTGGGATTTATCTATTTTTAGTCATAATTGATCAATTATTATGGTTTAAAAAATGTCAATTGTTACAACTCCATTCTAGCACAAGTGTGTCATGTGTACAGAATCTTTGAGTTCATCACTGATACTAGGTAATAATAATGATGGCATATTTATTGTGAGACCCAGGTAATAAAAAATAAATAAATAAAACATTTTGAAGAAAAAAAAAAAAAGAGGCCTTTTGTTTTAATTTGTTAAAAACATTACATTTATTGGCCTTGAGAGTAAAACAAAAATAAGAGAAAATTCACTGCAGTTTTGGCACTAAGCTAAATAATGTTTTTGTTATGTACACTTGCAAATGTAAAACGGAGCTAACCATAGTAGAACCTGAAGCCCTTCCTGGTGCCTTGTGTGATTCAGAGGACAATCTGAAGTGGTTCTGTACTGAGGCTGGAGTAAACAGTGACAGAAGGAAAAAAAAAACAATCCTGAATTAGGATTGAAAAGATGCTGGCGTGAAAAAAATGTCTCTATGCCACTCAACAAAGAATCACATGCTGCTAGCTGTAAAAGGTTTACTGAAAACAAAATGCTAAAAGATGAAAAATCTTCCAGTTAAATGCAGAAAAGTGGTTTTGAAATGACTAAACGTAATGGATTCAGTCGTTGGACTATCTTCACATGCTCAGATCGCTGAGAACCTCACGGCAGAGAGCATCGTGGGGGCTTTGGAGTTGGATTTATGGGGCGATCCATAGGCATTCAGTCCATCACACAGTTCATGTCAACACACAGGATTATAGAGGAAAAAAATAATCTATCTGTACAATAATATTACAGACTACAGGCCATACATTCCTGCACTGGGAAACCTTAAATATTAAGTATAGTTGAAATGCAAAAATTTGGGCTAGATATATACATACAAACAGTACGTACAGTGTATATGTCTAGGTTGTTAAATTACTCATCTCGTGTCTCCTTCGTGCCTATACGTGCCTCCTCCCCTCCTCATCATGTGCTCATGGTTTAGTGGGCTTCTGGGTCTGTATTCGAGAGGTTCTGCTATAGATGCTGAGATCCTGAGCATTTGTGTCCTCCCATCCCATCCTCATGAATGCATAAGATATTTTATTTGAATATGAAATAAAAACAACGACAACAACAACAAACTAAAACCTGCAGCAACATTGTTGCAACCTGAAAAGAAAAAATACATATATATCATCAGGTCACGATCATGCAATTAAGTAGCATTTACAGACTAAAACAGCTTTCATTTATGAATTACTATGGCAACAGAACATATTATTAGCACAGTCAAAATCAGTAGGGAAAATCTATGGCTGTGTCTCAAACTTGAGCTGCCAACTTAAACAGCATTTACTGGTCATCACAGGAGTAATTTGCCCCAACACAGGAATAGTTCACCCAAAAATGAAAATGTGCTCTAAATTTACTCACCCTCAGGCCATCTACGATGTTTCTTCATCGGAACAGATTTAGAGAAATGTAGCATTACATCAATTGTTCCCCAATGGATCCTCTGCGGTGAATGGGTGCCGTCAGAATGAGAGTCCAAACAGTTGATAAAAAAAAAGCATCATTATTGTGATGTAATGCTACATTTCTTGAAATCTGTTCTGATGAAGAAACAAACTCATCTAGATCTTGGATTGCCTGCGGGTGAGTACATTTTCAGCAAGTTGTCAATTTTTGGACAAACAAGTGTTTTGGAACATACCCGTCTATGCATAGTAGCAGGGTGACACGAGAAGGTCTGTGAGCACCACGAGCTGGTCGTCTGTGAACTGCTGCTTGTGCTCCAGCCAGTTGTCGTGATGAGTACGGCGGAAATTAGACAGAGTCTTTTTCACGGTCATCTAAATCAGACGGAGAGAGGCTTGTATTGATTTTTGTTAGATTTAATGGGCCCTAAGAGCGAAGAGCACAAGAGGGAGACAGAAAGCAATTGTGTTTGTTGTGATGTGACCGGTGTACCTCAATAGGCTGCGTGTCGTTGAGGTGTGCGCTGAGGTCCATAAGGAGCTGAGGCATCCAGGTTGGGACATCATACGGGCTGGATAAGATGCAAGCACTGAGTCCCAGCACACCGGCGTGACGCCGTACAAGATCTGAGGATAGACAAACATGGGTTAAAAGTACAGCAAATGATTCTGTTCTTTTTTATTCCCCCAATAAAAGTATCTGAATATAGCTGTAAACAAAAAAAACATCAATAGATTTAGTTTATTTGTATGTACAGGTTAAATTTTATTTGTTTTCTGGTAAATAATATAAAAACATTTAAAGCAAGATAAATCGGATTCTTGAGGCCTTTTTTTCTTTAAAAATAGTATACAAATAAAAAGAAAAATTTACATTAAAGAAAAACTTTTTTTTTTATTCACAGGGATATTCAGATACTTTTGAGAGAGAAAAAAAGAATCAGATTTATCTTGTTTTAATGATATTTAGACGATTTACTAGAAAAATATTATTTCAAAGATAGTGTTTTAATTTATTTTTAAAGTAATATTGTTTCCCAGTAAAATTTCTAAATATCGTTAAAGCAAGATAAATTCACCAGAGCAGCCAAAAAAAAAAAAAAAAAAAAACTTGTTTACAGATTTATTTTGTAATTTATCTTAAATATAATTGCACTTGGCCTGAGTTTTGCTTATCAAGTGAATGTATTGCGTCTTAAGGATATTTAAATATTTTATTTGAAAACAGAAAATATGCACATAAATAAAACACTATAACTCTTTTTTATTTTATAATTTACAGGCATTTCATGCCTTTTTGTGACAATAATTAGACGGAGGGAATGGGACTAGACTCAGACCAGACTTGAACTTAAATGACTTTGGTTCTTAAATTTTGCAGGCATTAAACGTTACCACTGTGCCATGGCTCTGATTCAAACAGCACAGCAATGCATGTGATTAAAGTGTGATCATACCAACTGAAGGAATGGTGTCCACCACAGAGCCTCTCTTCCTCTTTTGGGGTAATCTGGTTTTGCATAGAGCCTCAAAGTGAGTCTGCATGGAGGCATCCATTGCCAAGAAGTTACACTGCAGGAAGCCACTGAGAGTGGTGGCAGCCATCTCTCTCACCTAAGGCACAAAGATGCAAAGGGATGATCTTAAATATAATTGCACTTGGCCTGAGTTTTGCTTATCAAGTGAATGTATCGCGTCTTAAGGATATTTAAATATTTTATTTGAAAACAGAAAATATGCACATAAATAAAACACTATAACTCTTTTTTTATTTTATAATTTACAGGCATTTCATGCCTTTTTGTGACAATAATTAGACGGAGGGAATGGGACTAGACTCAGACCAGACTTGAACTTAAATGACTTTGGTTCTTAAATTTTGCAGGCATTAAACGTTACCACTGTGCCATGGCTCTGATTCAAACAGCACAGCAATGCATGTGATTAAAGTGTGATCATACCAACTGAAGGAATGGTGTCCACCACAGAGCCTCTCTTCCTCTTTTGGGGTAATCTGGTTTTGCATAGAGCCTCAAAGTGAGTCTGCATGGAGGCATCCATTGCCAAGAAGTTACACTGCAGGAAGCCACTGAGAGTGGTGGCAGCCATCTCTCTCACCTAAGGCACAAAGATGCAAAGGGATGAAGGTTTAATGAATAAGGCTGCATAAAAATGAATAAATGATGATGCCAGCATGCCCCGAAAGGTACCTCCAGCTGCTCATCCTCCAGTAGCCTGATGACCAGTGATCTTACGTCCTGAACAGCCTGCTCATTGCTCAGTATGGTGAAGAGATTATAGAACACCATTATCTGGAGGTATGTTAGCACTGAGAATCGTGCATGCCAAGAGCTGCTGCCAGCAATCTGAAAAAATAAAAAGAATATCATGGTTACACAGCACTCACTAGGACTGGGTAATAATGGTAACTAAATTAAATTCTCTCTCCCTCATATATATATATATATATATATATACACACAGTGGGGAAAAAAAGTATTTAGTCAGCCACCAATTGTGCAAGTTCTCCCACTTAAAAAGATGAGAGAGGCCTGTAATTTTCATCATAGGTATACCTCAACTATGAGAGACAAAATGAGAAAAAAAAAAATCCAGAAAATCACATTGTAGGATTTTTAAAGAATTTCTGTTAGGAGAACAGAAGAACTGCTGTGTGTTAGCTGCTCAATATGTGTCTGCCTGTCACCATAGAAGAGAAAACACTCACCCTGCCCTGATCTGATGTTTCCAGCACATCTACATTATATTACTTAGATGTATATTTTGCTTCTGTAAATATGTCTAATCCCTTATTTTATTTTTATTTGTAGTTTATATACATTAGAAATTCATTTTGCACTACATGCTTAATACTTTATATATTATTACTATTATTATTTTTCTTTCTGTTAATACATGTGTACTATTTGTAAGCAGTCCAGCTGCAATTGCTTTGGCAATACAAATGTATAATTTTTGTCATGCCAATAAAGCCCTCTTAAATTGAAAATTGAAAATTGAAATTGAGAGAGAGAGAGAGAGAGAGAGAGAGAGAGAGAGAGAGAGAGAGAGAGAGAGAGAGAGAGAGAGACAGAGATG